GGTGCCCTTACATGGGAGGACCTCGGGTGCGTGCGGACAGGGAATGGGAGGCCCAGTGAGAAGGAAAGATGAGGACCCAGGGCATGTGAACTGGGTACCTCCGGTACGTGCGACACCTGGCCTCGTGGATTGCAACAGAATATCCTCCCATTCTGTGTCTGCAAAGACTCCACCCTTGGGCCTGTGATGTCTTCACTCCGACCTCCTGGAACTCAGCTCTTGTCACCTCCTCTGGCAAGCTTTCCTCCATCCCCTTCTGAGCTGGTTTGGTGACACTTCTCTGGCTCCCAGCGGACACGGGACTGCATCATCCCTTCTCTGCCACAACGGCCTACCTGCCTGCCTTCCTGGAGTTCGGGTCCTTTCCGTTCATTCCCTCATTCACTCGTTCATTCAACAAGTACTTCTGGTGTTCCCTGCGCTGTGCTAGATGCTGACACCCACAGGCAAAGGGGACAGATGCGGTCCCTGCTGTCAGGGAGTGTGCATTCTAGCAGAGGAAGCAGACACCAAGCAGAATACAATTGCCTGATGATTTATTAATTCTACCTGGGGCATGTACTTTGATGGAGAAGAGAGTGTCGAGTGTAATTTGGTGAATCTGAACTAGGCTAGGGGGTCAGGAAAGTCATCCTTGAAAGAAAGTGACTTTGAGCTTAGGCTTACAGGACGTGCTGGTTAGTCTCCATTTGCAGAGTTCTGGGTGGGAGCTTCGGGAGCTTCGGGTGGGTCCACCTTGGCCTCTGCTTTCCTGCTGCCCTCCTGTGGGGAGCAGGTGCCCAACATGTTCTTCTTTGTAGGGGAGTGACAAAATTAGGTGACTCATTTATTTATAAAGATACCCTGGCTGTTGTAAAAAGAAAACACCAGCACGGGGCGAAGGGACTTGGGGACCAGCACAAGGCTCCTTATTCGTCTTCATAGCCCCTCAGCACAGGCTCTGGAATTCATTCATTTAGCAAATGTTTGCTGAGTTCTTTCTGGGGCCCCAGGCTCTGTCCGAGGCTCTGGAGACACCACAGCAGACTGGACATAGTCCTGGCCCTTAAGGAAGGTGAGTGGATGTAAAAGAACTCCCCCGTCTTCTGTCCTAGTGAGTCCTAAGCCTGGGGGGCTGGGAGGGGTGCCAGAGGAGGTGTGGTGCGTTAGGAGGGGTTCCCCAGCCCTGGGAAGCTCCCCCAGGAGGAGGCGGTGTCCTGATTTGGGTCCGACAGAAATAGGGTGGAGTCAAGGAGACAAAAACATGTCTCCTGGAGTTGGAAAAAGACAAACTTTGGGGCCGGGCCCAGTGGCTGACGCCTGTAATCCTAGCATTCTGGGAGGCCGAGGCGGGAGGATTGCCTGAGGTCAGGAGTTCAAGACCAGTCTGAGCAAGAGTGAGACCCTGTCTCTACTAAAAATGGTGTGGGCCTGTAGTCCCAGCTACTCGGGAGGCTGAGGCAGGAGGATCCCTTGAGCCTAGGAGTTTGAGGCTGCAGTGAGCTATGATGACGCCACTGCACTCCAGCCTGGGGGACAGAGGGAGACTTTGTCTCCAGAAAAAAAAAAAAAGAGAAACTTTTCTTGTTTGTTTGTTACCAGTGACTCCATTCACCCTCACAGCGGTTCTGTGAGGGAGGTTTTATTAACCCCCTTTTACAGCCAAACAAAAAAACCTGTGCTTCAGAGAGGGCAGGTGGTTTGTTCCAGGTCACACAGCTCATAAGTGGCAGAGCCAAGGTTCCAAGCCAGGTCTGTCTCATGCCTGCACCTTGTCCTGCCCCTGAGGGTCTCAGAGTGCCATCCCCCTGCCTCAAGCTTGGCTTCCCCAGGCTCTGTCCCGAAGCCGAAAGGACCCTGCAGTTGCGAAAGGAAGCCACAGCAAGGGGCAGCGAAGGGCAGGATAGGTAAGGTGAGGCACCTGAGAGGCCGCAAACTCCTTCCGAACCTTCAGCTGGCCAGTACCAAAAGGGACATGCCATGCCATCAGTCCCACAATTCACAACACCCAGACGTAGAAACAGACTGCTGACTGCCTGGGACAAGTACAGCCCTTCCCCATTCTGAGCCTTGAGAGACGTCTGCCCAAGCAAGGTCGTGACCAGGCAATATCTTTAGCAATCTGGAGAGATGTATGTGTTCCATGGGGCTTGGAATTATCCAGAAGTTAGAAAGCCAAGGGAAAAGGGAGCGATTTCCAGGGAATGCCGGATGCAAGACAGAGTCAGAACTTGTACAGGCCAGAAAGCCTGTCTGCAAACCCTTGGCAAGAAGCAGCAGCAAGATCGGGGATGGGTTTGAGTAGGGGCCGCGGGAGGAGAGGAGGGGGCCTGGGGCCCTCCCGCCGTCCTGCTAGGGGCAGAGCATTCGGGAAGTGTTAATCTGTCCTACCCAGGTGTGGCCAGCAACAATAATTTCCCCTAAAGCTTGCCTGTGTCTCACGAGGAATGGGAGACGGGAAAACCCAGGTGTACCGCTTTCTGGGGGAGAAATTTCCAAGTGTTCTGGAAACAGGCCTGTCATTTGGGGAAGTTGGATAACTACCCTTTTAATAAAGAAGTTCAACCTAGAGAAACAAGGCCATGGAATTCTTTGGAATCAACAGCTTTGCAAGGATTGGGACCTAGAGCCAGGATGGGTAGAATTTCAGCAGTTCTGACAGCAAAGCTTCTTTCTCAGTCAAGCAGGTTCATCCCAGCGACCTCTCCTGGCAGCATCTGTTCCCAGGAGGAAATGGGGGAGAAGGTGAGGCTGCCTTCTGGAAAGAATGGATGAGCTGGGGGCACTGGGCAGGGATTCCCGTGGCCACGCAGCTATCTAGAAGCACCGTCCTCTCAAGAGATGGCTGGAGCCTTGGCGTCCCCAGCAGGAAGGCTGGCTGGTGGGGAGAGGAGCAAAATTCTGGGAGGAGGAGAGCAGAGAGGAGGCAGGGAAGGGAGGATATAAAAGCTCTGGAGAGTTCAAAGGCTTTGACCAAGCGTGAGACTTTATGACGAGCTCACTTTATCCTGCAGCTCCAGCTGCCACCTGGAAGAAGAGGTGGCTGAGACCGGAACTCTGCCCACCGGCTGCCACAGACCCCAGGTAAGGGCTCTGGAGTCAGACACCAAACCCAGCTTGGCACTCCCCGCTGGGCCCCTTCGGGGGGACTGTCAGGTGGGGACAAGGAGGAAGGGGAACAAATGCTTTTGTTTAGGGTGTTTCCACTGAGAACTAGATGGCACTAGGAGATGCTTTGTGTACAATAGAGGGAACAAATTGACCAGAAGGGTCCCAGTAGACACTCGCCCCAGTAGTGCAATGCAGTGCTGGCTTCTCCACACGCTCAGCCATTGCTACCCTCTTCTGCCCCACTGGCTTTAATCCTCTCGCGGTCCCTGGCCGCAGCCACACCAGACTATACAACTAGCCAAGGGAAGCAAATGAAGGCCATCCAAGTGAAAACAAACACGTTCATTCAGAGCTTGCTAGAGCAAGGGGGCAGCCACCGTCACTCGCAGAGACTCAGAGGATGGCCGGGGGCTGCGGGGAGGGAAAGCTTTAGCGTGGGAAAGAGGGAGGGCTCAGGGGGGCTTTGATTGGAGTTGGTTGGCAGGGGAAGCTGGAAGGTTAAATTGTGGGATACACAGTTAGTGTCCACAGAGCTTTTCATGATGTGGAAAATCCACACATTTGGTATCAGAAGTTTTGTGAGTGTAGAAAAAAAGTTTTTCTTTTACAAGGTCACACAACTTATAAAGCAGGATTGGTATTGAACCAAACGGTGCTCTTGATTTGTTAGTCTGTGTTATGTTCTGTCTAATTCTTTGAAGCCAGACACCATGATTTATAATTTTATAGCCTCCTAATGCCTATTGTAGCTCCTTGTGCAAAAATGTGCTTTGTTGAAGTATTTTAAAAATTTAATTGAACCCAACTGTGCATGTGTGGTTTTCAAAGTTAATAACAGGACTCCCAAGAGCAGGCCAAGACCAACCCCACATGCCCTAGACTCAGGCTGCCTTCACCCCTCCCAGCTTTGGATGGGCAACCAGGATGCCCTCTGGGGCACGCACGCTATTGCTCTCAGCCCAACCCTGCCCCACAAGAGAGATAAAAACGGGCAAGACACAACCGCCTTTAAAGGAGAAATCTCAGTTTACTACAGACTGTTATTTGAGAACAGTGATTGTGTCTACACTCTTGACACACAAATCACACAGTATCTCACGCATAGAAAAAGAAAAGTTGAGGTCTGTCTCCCCTCTCAGTCCCCACTCCATCTTCCCCTCACTGAAATGTGGGGAAAACCCAGCTGTAAAGGCAGAGTGGGCCTCTGTCCCCACAGCAGCACAAGCAAGCTGTGTCACAAAGCAGAACATCTCCTCAAAGTCATGTCTTGACAAAGCTGAAACTACTAGGCTGGGGAGTTTCACGCTGATCCTCCATGTTCATTTCTTTGCAAAAACCAACGAGTTCCTGAAAACTGGATTAATGATAACCCATGAGAAATGTGCAAGGAGGGCCAGGCTCTGGGAGTGAATGTAGCAAAGGGGCCCCTCTGCTTCTGTTGGGTTTTTATTCGCTCTTTGGTGCGGGAAGTGGGACCAGCCTGGAGCATCCCTGACATGCTGGAGAGCTGCAGCTGTTGGCAGGTCCCCCACCCCCAGACAGAGACAGTCAGATGGCCCTTAGGCCACAAGACCAGAGAGCCCTTGGGAGCCAGCTGCAGGCCATGGTGCAAGCAATGAGTGCCTGTGCCCACAGGTGCTTGGGTCTCGTGCGCCTGGGCTCTGAGGGCCTGGAAGTCAGAGAAGGGCCAGGTCCAGGCTGGGAGGAGAGGGCAAAGGGCCGCCACCACCCTCCTTCCGGGACCTTCTCCCCCAGCTCAGGGAAGGCGAGGGGCTCTGCATGCTTGGAGCTGCTGCTCAGCCCTCAGGGACCTGACTCGCTGCTCCCTTGGGTTTTTCATAGAATAGACACAACCCTGGAGAGTGTTGCTCAGAAACAGGAAAATCAGCTCTCCCCTCATCACTGCTGGCCACCCCAGGCCCAAGCTCAGGGCTGCAGGCTGGGCAGTGATTAGGTGGTGGTGCTGTCGCCAGGGCGTCTCTGGGCAGAGACCTTGACGCCCACCGCCCTGGCCCGTGTGGAAGCTTTCTTCTGCTTGGCATCCAAGTTCTTCATGTACTTCTGGACCCACTGCTGCTTGGGGTCTCCACAGAACTTCAGGCCCTTCTTGGTGGTGAAGCTGTAGGGGGAAAATGACAGGGGCTCACCAGGGGCCAGGCAGGGACCTTGGGCCACTCCGCTTCATGGGGAGGTAGGTGTGGAAGCCCAGGAAGTTGCTTGCCCAGGCCTCCTAGCCAGTGCTGACCTGACGTCTTCTGTCTTTGTGTCCATGTCCCTTTGTGTGAGGAGTGGGAGGAAGAATGGGCATGGGGTGAGGGGTGCAGGGCTCATTCAGTGACCTCCCTGTCAGACAGGGAAGGCCCAGCCCTACTTTTAGATACACTGGATCCATTTCCTTGGTTTTTATCTTGTTTGTTTGTTTATTTTGTTTAGACAGAGTCCTTGCTCTGTCACCCTGGGTAGATAGAGTGCAGTGGTATCATCATAGGTCACTGCAACCTCAAACCCCTGGGCTCAAGCGATCCTCCTATCTCAGCCTCCTGAGTAGCTGGGACTACAAGTGCACGCCTCCACCCCTGGCTAATTTTTCTATTTTTATTAGAGACAGGGTCCTACTTTTGCTCAGTCTGGTCTTGAAATCCTGAACTCAAGCGATCCTCCCACCTTGGCCTCCCAGAGGGCTAAGATTACAGGGATGAGCCACCGCACCTGGCCCAGATATGCTGGATCCGAAGGGAGAGACATAACCTCTAACCACAGAGAGGGGACAGGAGTCGAAATCACAATGAAACCCCCCAGAAAAAAACAGCAGATGCCTCCGGTTCATTCACACACCATGCACGAAAGCATGGCTGATGATGGCAGCACTGGACGGGGAGACTGGGATGGCCTTTTCCAAGCCAGCTCTGAGCTGGGGGGTACCAGGCTATGGCACTGAAGCTCAGGCCAGTGGGAAAATTAATAATAAGGCCAACATCACATTTCTACTACATCCCACTCTTTGTAAAGTGAGTTCACATTTGCTAGCTGGTGTGAGAGGCAGCTGTGAATCTACTGGGAGTCCAGACACCTGTCTACCCAAGTGACCTTGAGCAAGTCACCTTTCTGAGCCTCAGTTGCCCTCTGTAAAATGGCGACCATCACCCCTACCCCATAGAATTATTGAGAGAATTAGTTAAGATAATGTCATATGCCCCCAATAGTACCTACTATATATTTGGTGCTCAAAAAATGATAGTTAAATCTAAATTTCCTCCTGATTTTATGGGTAAGGAGGCCCAGCTGAGGCCCAGAGTGGGGAGGTGACTTCCCCAGAGACACACAGAGCTGGGTCCTGCTGACTTTATTCCTCAGGGCCCTGGAGCTCACCTTCCCCTGCCCACTCCTGTCGGGCGTCAAGGCGAAGTACTCACATCACTCCTGCCTTGGGGCACACGCTCCCGTTGGACAGTTGGTAGCTGACCACTCGGTTCTCGGGAATTTTCTTGGAAACAAAGGACATGCAGCAGGAAATGGGGATGGCCACGGAGCCTACAAGAGGAAGGAGGGAAGAGCCGTGTCCCTTCCGAGGTGCCCTCCGCTCTGGGCCTCGGAGCCTCACACGCCCAGTGCACTCATGGGGCGGCCCTTTCCTCATGCTCCCCTCTGTCCTCCACCCTCCACTGTGTCACCAGGAACGTGCCTTGGGAACAGCCTCTTGCCCGAGTCTTACCCGCGGGGGCGAGGTGGTGGGCACACAGGGCCAGGAGCAGGAGTCCGGCTGCGATGCTCCTGGGGCCTGCCATGTCCTGGGCGGCAGCTCAGGGCCCAAAGCTGGGGTGCGGGAGGAGAGGACCTTGGGATAAGGGGCCCGGGTCCTTGCAGAGCACCCCAAATGCCCTTTCTCTGCTTTTTATAGGGGCGGCTAGGAGGAAACATGTCCCCCGCCCCCTCCAGGCTCCCTGGAAAATCCTGAGGCCTCTGTGGTTTGGAAAGGGGAAGTTTTTGCCCAGTTGTTGTCCAGCTGAGTCAGGGCTATTTGGGGCCGATACCGAGGCGCTGGGGTGGGGGCCATCGCCCTGGCTAAGCCAAGTGCAAGGCTTTGGGTGCACAGTCAGAAGGCCCCTGGGAGCCTGGCGGAGCTGCTCTTCCCTGCGGGATCCTGGAAAAGTCACTCACCCCTCTGAGCCGCCGTTCTTGCAGCTGCAGGTGGGCAGGGTCAGCGCCGACGGCCGCACTGAGGTGTGGAGGCTGGAAGACAGTGGTCACTGTGCTAGAGCTTTGCAATTCCTAGTGCTCAGTTCAGTTGTAAGGGACTGAGGTGACTTTGTCGGACAGAGTGAGCCACGGCCCCCACCTCACTCCACCCCCGATTCCAGGATCCCAGACTGGGCCCTGCGCTCAGAGACGCCCTCACTGACACTGCCATGCCCACCCCTCCCTACAGTTCTCTCCATCCCACTTCCCCAGCCTCCCCCTCCGGGCTTCCAGGGCACCAGGAACACAGTGTGGGACCACAGTGGCACACGTCACCTGCCTAATGGCCAGCTGGGTGTCTGCATCTCCTACTTGACCTGACTCCTTGAGATCCACATCTCTCTCCATACCCACCACATCCCAAGCAGACTACCTGTCTCACAGCCCGTGTTTGCAGATTGAATATATGATGGATCAACTATAAGACAACTTCTTCTGGACCAGAGACTCCTCTGGTTTAACGTGTACATAGGGCAGAGGCCAGGGGCAGCAGGCAGGTCCCCTGATGGGGACAAGATTGCAGTTGGCGATGCCAGCAGTGCCTGACCTCATCGCCCCTGTCTGCAGAGTGAACAACGCTGAGAGGCTGACTCAGCGCTCTGGCCCTCAACACCTTCCCTCTCTGCCTCCGTGTCCTTGTCAGCCAGCAATAGCAGTCCTTACCTGGCAGAGTCATCGGGAGGATTAAAAGGGAAAAGTCAGGGGAAGCCCTTTGTCATCACTATGCGTGTGATATCGTTATGACCTGTGCTCCTTGGTGATTCCGAGGGGATGCCGGCTGGGTGCTCTGACTCAGTGGGTGCTGGGAGCGTGGCACAGGGGGAGGAGGCAGGGGGGAAGAAAGCCCGCCAGGCAGAGGCACGAGCAGGGCAGGGGCGCTCGCTCCCCTCATATCGCAACCTGAGTGGAAGGGCGGAAGGTCACTGGTGGGAGGAGAAGAGGTGGGGTGATTCATCCCGGATTAATAACACCCCGCAGGGGCTTTTCCACCCAGTCTGCGCGCGCTCTATTCAGGGAATAGCCAAGGCAGGGATTACTCATCCCATTTACAGGAGGAAAACTGAAATCTTGCGAAGGGTGAGTGACCAGACACCACTGCAGGTGGTGGCCTCACCCCCCAGATGGGAACCTGCACCCTTCCTGCTGGAAGGGGTGGAATCTGACAGCTGCAGGGATGAGTTAAAGTAAGAGTGGGAGGAGGAGGGTCTAGGAAGGCAGAGTGAAAGGAGGGGACAGACGGGAAGAGAGAGAGAAAGCCGGGAGCAGAGGCTGAGGCAGGAGGATCGCTGGAGTCCAGGAGTTCGAGTCCAGCCTGGGCAACACGGGGAGATCCCGTCTCTTTAGAAAAATAGGAAGAAAAAGTAGAGGCAGATGGCAGGAGGAGGAGGAGAAGGGGAAGCCCACGAGGGAGGAAAGAGCATAATTGGGGAAGAAATGTGGGTGGGTGGGCGGGAGGCTCCCAGGGCCCTCGGCTCCAGTGCAGACCCTGCCCCTCTCTCGGCCTAAGTTTCCCCATCTGAGAAGTGGGGTGTTGGCCAGATCTGCATCTCCCCAAGTGTGGGACCACCCCAGGTGATACAAGAGGGGACATTTTAAATGTAAATGTTTTGTTTTGGCCACCCTGTCTAATAAGGGATTTTGTATTTATGGTAATAATACAAGGTTTCCCTAAGATAAAAAATATATGTTGACAAAAAAAATAAGTAAAGTGAATCACAGAACAGATCATATGCAGCTGTGACAGAAATTGTGACAGTTGCCCAAGAATATCTCAAGTCTGGTGATCCTGGCCGAGGTGTCCTCTGAGGGCCTTTCTCCTACGTTCCACACACCACGGGGAGAGGGGGACAGGGCTGGGGCAGAGGGAGCTTCGGGGAAAGGGCCGAAGCTGGAGGCAGAGCAGAGCCTGGCCAAGCAGGGAGCCCAGCAGGGGTGGCTGCCTCCGTCGGTCACCCCACTCTGGGGTGAGCGATGATGATGATGATGATGATGATGATGATGATGATGGTGTAGGGCAGAACCCGACAGCTGCGTGAAGCTGGGCAGTGGACAGTCGCCAAGGTGGTGAGGGGCCTGGAAGACATGTCCTGATGAGAAATGACGGGGAGAAGGGGCTGTGATCCTGGACAGGAAATGACTTCAAACACTGAGGACGTGTCCCAGGAAGGGGGCGTCAGATCCCACAGCCCTAATTAGGGTGAAAGGAGACCACAGGTGGAGGCTTGTGATCTCAGGGCGGGGAGGATGGGGCAGGGGGCAGCAGACGGAGCTGAGCCCTGGCTGCCCCAGAAATCGCTGAGTTCTTGAGCACTTCGTCTCCACTAGCAACCCCGGTTCTATACGATCCCTGTTCTGTATGGAAGGAAACTGAGGCTTAGAGTGGGGGCGGGAAGGGTAGAGCTGGCATTTGAATGAGATCTATCTGAATTCGGTGGTGTCTCCCATTAGCGGAGCACACCTTGATCTTGCGGGCAGCAGGGACACCCATGGTTTGGAGGCACAGCGTTAACGAGGTCGGACCTGTGGTCTAGTGACGTGATGGGATCCCCTGGCAGGTGTGGTGGGAAGAGGCTGGGGAAGGGAAACTGGCTGGGAGGTCACTGCGGACATCCAAGGGAGGGACGATGAGGGTCTGCATTGGGGCAGGGCTAGGGAAGAGCTCCCCAGCCAGATCTACCTGAAGAGCCTACGAGAGAGGGAGATGCAGAATCTGAGGTGTCCCCTCCAAGATGCCAGTCTCCACCCAGCCTGCGGCCCAGGTTGTGGGGAAAACACTTGCAGGTGTCCTCACACCCACTTCTTGGAAGTCACCCCAGAGCCCACCTGTTTACGCCCCTCCCCAAACCCTGAGAAGACTGGCCGTGACTCTACAGGACCACCTCTGGACACGACAGTCACCTGCCAGGGTTGAAATCTCTGCCGAGCCCTTAGGTAGCCTTGTGGCCAAGGATATTAACTCCTCTGTGCCTTAGTGTCCTCATTTGTAAAATGGGAAACAACGACAATCTCTATCTCATAGATTATTGTGAGGACTGAATCAGTTCATTCATGTCAAGGGCGTGGCAACCTGACTGGCAGAGGTCGTGTCGCCAAAAGGCGGTCATTTTTGTTATTGTTGTGACAACTGTTTGCAAGCTGATGAGCTGACTAAACCAACAACCCACAGACAGGCTCTTCCATGACCTTTAATGTATTGCTGCATTTAATCTAATCTTTACAAAATGACCCTTAGTGTAGATATTACTATTGTAGTGTAGATATTATTGTAGAGAGCGGTGAAGTAACATGTTCGAAGACACACAGTTACTGACTCCTCCAGTTTGAAGCCCAAACCTGCACCACTGTACAGGGTGCTAGAAATATGGGGGTAATATGTGGGTGGTAAGAAAGAGGAAGGCTAAGGAAGAGGAAAATGAACAAGCTGATTCTAAAATTTATATAGAAATGCAAGGAACCCCGCATAGCAAAAAAAAAAAAAAATTTTAAAAAAGAAGCACAAAGTTGGAGGACTTATACTTTCTGGTTTCAAAACTTACTACAAATCTACAGGAATCAAAACAGTTTGGTTCCGACATAGGATAGACGAATAAATCAATGGAATAGAATTGAGAATTCAGAGACAAACCTGCACATGTATGTATGATCAATTGACTTTCCACAAGGGTGCCAAGACCACTCAATGGAGAAAGAATAGTCTTTTCAACAAATAGTGCTGGAACAATGGGATATCCACTATGAAAGAATGAAGTTGGACCCCTACCTCATACCATATACAAAAGTTAACTCAACATGGATCAAAGACCTAAATGTAAGTGCTAAACCTATAAAACTCTTAGAAGGAAACATAGGTGTCAATCTCTGTCTCCTTGAATTAGGTAATGGTTTCTTATTTATGACACCAAACGCATATGCAACTGAGGGGAAATTAATTCCTTTGGGCTTCTTCAAGTTTAAAATTTTTGTAAATTAAAGGACATTATCAAGAAAATGAAAAGAAAACCCACAGAATGGGAGAAAATATTTGGAAATTATATATCTGATAAGAGTCTGGCATCCAGAATATATAAAGAACTCTTACAAATCAACAATAAAAAAACAAATACCCAATATAAAAATAGGCAAAGACTTTGGATAGACATTTCTCCAAAGAAATTAT